CTGAAGGCAAGCCGTCCCACTGATTGCTCTAACTCTCAGGAAGTTTCTCCTTAGTTTCTAGGTCAATCCCCTCTTCTCTGGGACAGCCCCTCAAATATTGGAAGACTGCTATTATGTCAACCGTAGACCTTCTTTTCATTAAGCTAGCCCAGGGTTCTGCAACCTACGGCTCTGGAGCCACATGTGGCTCTTTCAACCCTCTGCTGTGGTTCCCTGTTGGCTGATCCCACCACTAGCTGGGCCCTCCCCTCCCTGTCACTTCTCACCTGGCCTGAGAAGGTAAGGGTGATGGCAGAGGATGGAGACTCGCTCCATATTTCAGATCAGGAGGCGACTGGGTGGGAGGGAGTGACGTCGAGTTGACCACGCCCACCCACTTACACCGGTTGTTAAATTGTTGGCTCCTGGTGTTGTGTATTCTGTGGGGAACAGGTTCAAATGCCTCTTTGAGTGTTTAAGGTTGCAGAGCCCTGAGCTAGACATACCGCAATTCCTGTAACTGTTCTTCGTGTATTTTAGACTCCAGTCCCCTTGTCATCTTTGTTGCTCTTCTCTGCACTCTTTCTAGATCTTTCATTGAAGTTATCGGTGGTTGTGTGATTGAATCTCCCAATTTGTATGCTCCTAGCCTCTAAAAGTAGCCAGCTACTACGTACTGCTATGACTACTACTAGATTGCTTGCCCTTGCTATGGACCCCTGAAAAGCCAGTTGTCCATACCACAAGACAGATGTCAAGGTGTTTCTTTCCTTCTAGAAATTTGCCTGCTGACTCGTGGCCGGCGCACAGCCAGTGTGAGAGCTGACACGTACTGCCGTCTCTACTCCCTTTCGGTGGACAATTTCAACGAAGTATTAGAGGAATATCCCATGATGAGAAGGGCCTTCGAAACAGTGGCACTGGATAGGCTGGACCGCATTGGTAAGTACGCACAGAGAGATTTGGTATTCAGAAGATACCGGGGACTGAATCAGAGATGGGATTCAGCCGGTTCACACCGGTTCTACAGAACCGGTAGCAGAAATCCCAGCTCTGACTGGCCCCGCCAACCCCATCTCTTCTCTGCCTCCTGAGTCCCAGCCGATCGGCTGGGTCTTCTTTGGTTGCTCTGCATAGGAGAAGAGAGCTGGAGAGCAGGTTAGTGGGATGGGGAAAGAATGGGATTTTGCAGTATCCTTCCCCTGCCATGCCCACCAAGCCACACCCACAGAATCGGTAGTAAAAAAAAAATTTGAATCCCACCACTGGACTGAATACTAGAGAATCATTTCTGTTATTGATGGTATGGTGTTGAAAGCCATCTATGGTTGAGGATCCCATCTCCAAACGCTTCCTCCACCTCCATTCTTTCCTTCTTCTTAAGCACAGATCAGGTTAGGAGAGCATTAATGTGGCATCTTGGAACCTGTGAGATGCACCAAGGGACACGAGTCCTGGGGAGGCTATGAAGAAACATTCTGCTGGTTTTGGCTGAAGATCCACCTGGTCTTGCATCTTATTTCCACCCAAATGTTCCCAAGGAAGTTCATCAGCAGGGCTCAGGGGCTGTAGTCTTCTCCTGAGGACCTCCAACAATTATAATCAAATGATGTTGTCAGGATTCCAAGTAACCTACCTATAGCAAACAAAATTCTGAGGCAGGCAGATTCCTCAAAGAATAGGTTTATTGGGTATGTAATATTGGCACAGGCTGGTGCAAACCAACTCTGATTATTTCCACGGTTTTCACCTAATTAAAAGTAAAAGTTTGTCACCTTCTCAAAACAGTCAGTCACATGGTCCAATCAGGATACTGTCTAGTCGCTAGGTGACTCCGGTCCCCTCCTTCCGAGCACCTGCAGGAATGTCCTTGATTCCCAAGAGAAAGTATTTTGTTTTGACTACAACTTCCCAACCATCTCTATTTCCTCCCCCGCTTGGCCCTGTTCTCCAATGTCTCAGCACTGAAGTCTCAAGAGGGCCTCAGTCAGGCCAGCTTCAGGGTTGACAGATATATTGTAATCTGTAAACCTGTGGGTTTTGTACCCCTATTTTGATTTCCACTGGAAATGAATCTTCTGTAGAAGAGGAAGCTGACTGAGATGGGTGAGAAGAGCCACCCCTGGTGTCTTATGTGGTTGGTGGCTCCTCAAGACAGCTCCTCACTATCCTCCTCCTTCGTTTCAGGTAAGAAGAACTCCATCCTTCTCCATAAGGTCCAACATGACCTCAACTCGGGTGTCTTCAACTACCAGGAGAACGAGATCATCCAACAAATTGTGCAGCATGACCGAGAAATGGCTCACTGTGCCCATAATGTTCAAGCGGCAGCGGCCGCAGCGGCATCGACTCCCACGCCTGTAATTTGGACCCCGCTGATCCAAGCTCCTCTGCAGGCCGCCGCCGCCACCACTTCGGTAGCAATAGCGCTGACTCACCACCCACGCCTTCCCACAGCCATTTTCCGCCCTCCGGTCTCTGTTCTGGGCTCCCTGGGGCAGACGCAAAGCCAGACTCCGAGGCGCTTACGGAAACTCCATTCTTTGGTGTCTTCTGCCGGACCTTCCATCATGGGTTCCCCATCAAGCACGCCATCCCAACAGCACACGCCAGGAGTGGAGACCCTTTCCTCCTCCTCCTTCCAGATCCAGCAGTTGGCTGGGTTTACCGCATCAGCCACCCTGGGTCAGTTGCACCGGTCCTTGGCCAGCTCTCCATCTGCTGGGTCGACGCAGCAAAACCTGGGCAGCCCAACATCTACCGGACTGGAGCAGCTGTGTCCTGGGCCTCTGGATTTGACAGAAGGGGCTGCTCGGCAGCAGGCTTCAGATACCAGCTTTGGCCCATTCCAGAAGGCTCCTCCGAGTTCTCCACCAGCCACCGCCCCCTCTTCGTTCCCTCAACTCTCTTCAAATTCCCCCGTTAGTCCTTGCAGCCACTTGCAACCTACGGGCAGGCCCCACTCCACGGGGCAGCTGATGCAGCTCTCAGGAACTGGAGGGACCAACCACTTCCAGTTGCCCCCTTCATCCAGTTCTCCCTCCTCTGGCTTACGCCAGCTGTCCCAGGCCTCAGGAGGCCCCCCTCCTGCCTCCGGCCCCACCCAGCCAAGTGCATTAGGCCCTTCCGCCGAGACGGCCACTGTTGCTCAGTTGCACCAGGAACGGTCCCCCTTCGCTTCTCTGTCTCCCCCCAAGCCCGGTCCTGTACCCCCACCCTTGTACCCCCTACCATCAGGCCTTAGCCCTCCCAGTCAAAGCCTGCCCCCCAGGACTTTCCAGTGCAGCCCGTCGGGGGTGCTGGGTTCTCAAGGCTCTTTGCTCCTGCCTCAGACCTCCAGCCCACCTGCCCAGGTGCTCCAGCCCCGGAATCGGCCACTGGTTTTGCCAGGACGTTTAAGCCAGGACCTCAAGTTGATCTCCGCCTCCCAACCGTCTCTTCCCCACGAAGCAGCGCAGACTTCAAGCCCACAGTCCTCCTCCCGGGAGTCCGTTTCTAGCTTCTCCTCGTTCTCCGGAGGAGGCAAAGGCAGCGACATCGGGGGAGGCCCCAGACCTCTGGGGAAGCCATATAGTTCGGGGCCAGGACGAGTCACTCTACCACGCCAGACATCCTCAGGTTCTCTGCCCCAACCCCCTGCATTCGCCATTTCCTCCTCTCTGCCCGTTGCCGAAAGGAAAGGATCTCTACAGCTGAGTGGGGAACAAGAGCCCACCCGCTCAAAACTGCCTTCCAACTTGTGAGAGGCTCTTTCCTCCCACCCGCCCTCCGGTCCGGCTCCCTGTCCTCCCGTTTCCCGGAGCCCCCTTTCTTTCATTTTCTGCTTTTCAGGTCGCAACACACGTCGATGCGCCTCAGTTTCCCTCCTTCCGTTTCTTTGAGTTTAACGACGAGATTAAAAATAAGAACAAGGGCGATATCACACACACACATACACAAGATAACCAGGTATTCTTAGAGCTATAGATTTTCAGTCACTTTCTTTTATAGAATATTTTACTACATGGAGCAAGAGGTTGAGAAAAAAAAAAAAAAGGCACCGGGTCGATGCGGAACGATAACATGGTACTCACGACTTCTTTCGCTTCCTGCTAACAAAATTGTTTTTCCGAGGGAGAGATTCCATCCGGAGATTGGCATTCAAGGGCCTTTACTTGGTAGGGGCTTTTCCTCATTACAATCTGGAGTATTTCAGCCTTCGGGGTTGTACCCACCCAGGTTCTCATCTAAGGAAGCTTCAGATGGAAATTCTCAATCATCTAGGTTGTGGTTGTCCCAAAAGTGTTTTGTTTTTTTTTTCAAAAGGCAGTTAGACCTTCTGGGTTTTTCTTTGAAGACATTTCGCTCCTCATCCAAGAAGCTTCTTCAGCTTTGACCTGATGGTGAGGAATGGAAGGATTTCCTCAGGGTGATGCAGACAAACCTCCAAGTGGCCTCAACGACTCTCTAAAAAGGACGCAAATGACCAGCTGTCTGCAAGGAATATAAATCCTTCTATCCCTCACCATCCAGTCAAGAGCTGAAGAAGCTTCTTGGATGAGAAGCGAAATGTCTTCAAAGAAAAACCAGAAAGTCCACTTGCCTCTTGGGGGGAAAAAAAAGGCCCATTTGGGACTTCTAGACGAAATCTTGATACAAAATAAGGATGAGAAGACAAATGGGATTTCCTTGTTCTCTTGAGGGACGTGAAGTTGATTCAACCGAACTTTGAAGCGGTTGTGGAAATAAAATATACCTCCAGGTTCCTATCAAGAATGTTGCATTTTAGTTGGGAAGATCTGAAGTCCTGATCTACATTTCAACGCCCCCAACCGTAAAGGTGCACAGATGTGGTACTTTCCAGTTCCTTTGGGGATCATCAGTTTTTCTCTTCTGCAATGCAAGCGGTAACTACGGTTTAGCTGAAAAATGAGCATAATCCTTCTCTCTTCCTGCCTTTTTGCTGAAAGTGACACTTCCCTTCACACAAGGGGGAAAAATATCGGCATATTCAGCTGCTCCAAACATTCAGAGCTTCCAATGTTTGGAGACAAGGGAAGTCCTTTAAAATCCGGAAGGGGATTTAAATACAGGTAGTCCTCAAATTACAACCAATTCTTCAACAGCCCTGAAAAGAGCGGTTTACAGCCGATTCTTGCAGCATCCCCAGGGGTCATGTGATCTAAATTCAAGCTCTTGGCAACAGGCATGTATTTACAATGGTTGCCAAGGACCGGTGGTGGTATTCTATCGGTTCGGCCTGGTTCACACGAACCGGTAGTAAAAAAAATCTACCAGGTCAGCCGAAGCGGTATTTCTTTTCTTTCTTTTCCTTCTTTTCTTCCTTTTCTTTTCTTCCTTTTTTCTTCCTTTTCTTTTCTTCCTTTTCTTTCTTTTCTTCCTTTTCTTTTCTCTTTTCTTCCTTTTCTTTTCTTCCTTCCTTCCTTCCTTCCTTTCCTTCCTTCCTCTTTCTTTCTTTCTTTCTTTTTTTCCTCCCAACGATCAGCTGTTCTGACAATCAGCTGTGCCAGAATCCCCCTCACCGTCTTACTGCTTCGCCCAGGCAGCTTCCCTGAGGCCCAGAAGGCAAAAAAAAATGGGGTGCGGGGTGAGGGGGTGCTGCACAGAAAAAGAAGCCATGCCCACCCAGTCACATGGCCACGCCCACCTAGACCTGCCCACCTAGCCACGCCCACAGAACTGGTTGTAAAAATAATTGCATCCCACCCCTGCCAAGGACGACGGGCGTCCGACAAGCGAAGTAAAGGAGTGAAGCTGGACTTGCTTAACGGTCATGTGTGATTCACTTAACAACTGCAGGGATTAGCTTCACCATGGTCACAAATTGGGCGCAACTCGCTTAACAACTGCCTCGCTTAGCAGCGGGAATTCTGCCCCCACCCATTGTGGTTGTACATTGAGGATCACCTGTAAAGAGGTTCTCTTTTTAAAAAATTGGGGATTTTGATCCATGTGGCACTTCCATCTCTTTTCCTGTATGACCTGGTCCAGGTAATCCTCATTTGTTGAGTGACCATTCAACAAAGTTACAACGGCACTGAAAAAAATGACTTGGGACCGTTTTTCACATTTATGACCATGGCAGCATCCTCATGGCCCCGTGATCAAAATTCGGACGATGGGCAACTGATTCACATTTATGACAGTTGTAGTGTCCCTGGCTTACATGATCCCCTTTTGCGACCTCAATGGGGGGAAGCTGGATTCATGTTGCTTACTATATCAGCTGCAATGCTTCACTTAACAACGGAGGCAAGGAAGGTCGTAATATGGAGGGGTGGGGGGTGGCAAAACTCGCTTCACCAATGTCTCACTGAACAACGGAAAATTTGGGCTCCTTTGCGGCCGAAAGCCGAGGACTACCTGTATATTTGAAACAGGGTGAGAATGATATAAGGGCCATCAAGACAAAAATGCATTTTTTTTTTCTTCTTCTTCTCAAAGGTCCAGCAAAAGAGAAACTTTTTCTCTTTCTTCCTACCAGCATTCTTCCTGGTGTTGTTTTTTGTCAATTGGTGCTGACTCACAGGTGGGATTCAGCTGGTTCTGACCGGTTCTGGAGAACCGGTAGTGGAAATTTTGAATAGTTCAGAGAACCGGCAAATTCCACCTCCTGACTGGCTCCGCCAACCCCATCGATTCTCTGCCTCCCATTAAATCCCAGCTGATCGGCTGGGTCTTCTTTGGTTGCCCTGCAAAGGGAGAACGGAGCTGGAAAGCAGGTTAGTGGGGTGGGGGGAGAGAATGGGGATTTGACAGGAACCTTCCCCTGCCACGCCCACAAAGCCACGCCCACAGAACCGGTAGTAAAAAAAAATGTTGAATCCCACCACTGTGCTGACTGCAGCCATTTCTCCAATTAAGTTATAGAACGGGGAGTGGGGCGCTAGCAGAGCCCCCTCCCCTATTAATCGATCCCGATTGCAGATTCTGCTGCCGTTTGGCTGTTTTACGGAAGCCCAGAAAAGCTGATTTTGCATTTAATTTCACCTAGCGGTCAATTCGTCAGTCACATAAACATACAGGTAAGGCTTTGAGTTACAGCAATTTGTTTAATGACCACTCAAAGTTACAAGGGCACCGAAACAAAGGGACTTCTGACTGCTTTTCACACATGCGTCCGTTGTAGTATCTCCACGATCATGTGATCAAAATTCAAGCGGTTGGCAATTGATTCCTATTTAGGACGGTTGCGTTCTAATCCCCTTTTGTGACCATCCTACCAGCCAAGTCAACAGGGGAAGCCAGACTCGTTTTAACAACCAGCTTACTAACTTATCCACGACAGCAATTCACTTAACGAATGGGGCCCCAATTAACTCACTTCACAAATGTCTCATTTCACAGCACAAATGTTGGGCTCCATTGTGGTTGTAAGTCGAGGACTACCTGTTCCGAGGGAGAGCATTGTTGGAAGCATTGGCAAGGTTTGGAACGCAGCAGCCTGAAAAACAAACCAGGCTACCTTGATTGTGTAGCCGGTGTGCTGGTTTTTAACATGGTGTGTATGTTTATGTGTGTGTGCGTGTGTGTAATCTCCGCTGCTTCTAAGCAACATCCGAAATTGAAACGCCGATCCTTTTCATCCGGTGGCGTTACAAAGTTGACCGCGGCTTCCATTTGATCTCACAGGAATGTCAAGCCACAGTCAACCATTCTGGCCAATTTCACCGAGAAGGCCAGATAATTTTGGCCTGGTCATTGAACAAAACCAGCTAAGGACTAAAACAGGAGTCCCCAAACTTGGCAACTTTAAGACTTGTGGACTTCAACTCCCAGAATTCTCCAGCAGCTATTCTGGGAGTTGAAGTCCACAAGTCTTAAAGTTGCCAAGTTTGGAGACCTCTGGACTAAAAGGACGGTGATATAATTTGGTTTCTTAAGCACCCATCTTCTGGGGGACTGGAAAGTTGAGCGGTCCTTACAACAACACTGAAAAAAAATGCAACTTATGCCCGTTTTTCATCATTACCACCTTGGCAGCGTCCCCGTGATCGTGATCGTAAACTCACATCTTTGCCAACTGGTTCGTATTTATGATGGGTCCTGATGTCATAGGATCCCCTTTTCACAAGCCATGGGGAAGCCAGTTTCATCGAACAACCCGGTTGCTAACTTACCAACGGCGGCAATTCCCTTAACAACTTTGGTGAGAAAGATGGGGGCAAAACTCCCTTAGCCCATGTTTCACGTAACACAGAAATGTTGGGCTCAGCTGTGTTCATAAGCAGAGGTGGGATTCTACTGGTTCAGCCTGGTTTGACCGAACTGGTAGCTCTGAAGATCAGTGGAGAGGGAACCAGTTTACTCCAACAATCTTCTGTTGTTTTTGGCCTGGGCTCTAGGCTGTCCTTTATTTCCTACTTTTTCAACCACAGGTGCTTTGCGCAGCAGGAGATGATTTTTAAGTGATGTGCACACGCACGCAGCGCATGTTTGGTGCACAAAGCGTACGCTCACCGAACCGGTTATTACACCGGTTGAATCTCACCCCTGGTCATAAGTTGTACATGTCTAAGGGAGTTGATCAGCTCTTCCGGGACAAAAGAAAATCAAAAGTTAGAAGAGCAATTTGCAAAAAGCTGGATGAGATACACCACTGCACCTAAGGAATCGCCATTGCGCTACGAAATGACACCGTGCGGCCCTCCTACATACCAAAACCCTTTGAAAAGCTGAGACCTGAAAGTCATTTTTATGATGTCACAGTTGTGCGAATCCTACCCTAGGCCATTTTTTTTTT